TCGCAGGGTTCACTCAGCTCATGATAATCCGAAAATAGTTTTGCTTGAAAGTTTCATAATAGGTTAAAATAATTACTGAAAAATTTTAGGAGGAGGAAATTTTCCTCATTTCCCTCCCCTGGATCAGCGACTGACATAGCAATCGACAACAATATCAGCCTTCTGCGCAAGCGCAGTTCGAGTTCCGCATGCGCAGATGCTTATCGGGTGCTCCAAATAATGCTATCGATTACTGGCCGCTCCGCCGTGCAAAAAGTTCCTAGTATCGAACTGCGGCAAAAAGCGGCGACTGGAAAACTCGCATTGTGGGGTCATGACTTTAAAGTAAAAGTGAATAAATGTTGTTCCTCTATTACCGGGAGAGTTGGCTCAGAGTATCAGCTATTATCACTGTAGTGCCTCTGACCGGGAGGTCCTACGTTCGAAGCCCGACGTTGGCAGGATTTTCGACACTAGCTTGTCAGCTAGGTAGAATTCAGTTGCTGTCTGGAGGAGAATTCTGACGACCGGCTGATCTCATCGGTAGTTTTGCGTAGTTTCTCCGATCAACATCAGGCGAATGCCGGAGCAGTACCCTAACGAGCCACGGAACGCGCGCGATCTTTTCTTCCTCTTCCTTGTTCTATCCTCACTAACATGCGCAACAGTACCACACATGCTGGGAGACCGGTCGGGGAACTTACAGTTTGTCCCGGATGGGACGGTACCCCGCTGGTGGAAGATAACTGGTTGGGAAAAAACCCGCCAGCAGACGGTAGGTCGCCATCCTGTAGTATATCACCCCCCCCCCGACGGAAAAATACGTACTACACTTACGGGACCAATGAACTTATTCATTGTTGCGCACTAACAATCAATCCATTATTCATATACGTAATAAATTATTTTTAACACGATATGTTATCAGAATCCTCTTTTTAGAGATCCTTGATGTAGAAAAATGGATTAACGACAAAAAAAATGCTGGTCGCCGTCTCAACCGTTCACACAATTTTCTCAAAAATGGGTATTCCTGAATCAATTTGGATGAACTTGAAGCACTAAGAGTTCGAAATGTATATATTTTTATTTTTAGGAGTGCTTTACATAAAGCCTATACATTTTCAAAATATTCTCAAAAATTGATCGATCTTTTTTATTAACTTTGTCTTGGGAGAGAGTGTAGGACGTCTATAAACGGCTCAGGTCCCATTTACGCGTAACTCTGATTGTTTCTTTCGAGAATTGTAAAAGTTCCCAAGTTTTTAGGCGTCTTTCTACAACACAATATAAAGATTTTTTCCTTCATGAAATTGTTCTTCTAAAAGATCTTTGAATAAAGTTATGTACAATTTTTTGAGAATATGAGTGTTTCGAGCATTATTTTGCTTTGTACATCGGCAATTTTTAAACTATTTCAAAAACGGCTTCATATTTTTAAAATGTTTTCTCAGATAGAGCATTAGACGCTTAAAAAAAGGCCCAAGTCCCATATCCGGCAAACTCTCTATATTTTCGAATATTGCAAACAATTAAGATTGCAAAACTACAATACTGAGAGATTTTTTCCATTATAAATTTCTGATCTAAAAAATTATATCTTAAAAAAAAGTCACTTAAAAAACTAATAGTTTTAAGAAGTAGTTTTAAAGTAAGAATTTCTCAAAAACGGCTCCAAAGTTTTTCTTTAATTGTTTTTCCTCGGATATACCAAAGGAATCTTTAAAAAAATCGCAGGTCTCATTTTCATTGAACACTGACTTTTCAAAAGTGAATGGATATTCCAAAAGTACAACAAATACTAGAGGCTATTTTAGCAGGAAAACGTTAGTGCTTCGTAAGTATACCCAAAAATTAACAGATCTGTTTCAGACTTGATAGTCCACGACATCATTCAAATCGATCGGAGAATATCCAACACGCGGTGTAGTTGCTAATCTTCTTCACAGACAGACATTTTGGAAAGAAAGAGAATTTTTTTTTTTTTCCGGTATCAAGTACCCGCGAAACGGATTGGCACCCTAGGACTTTCCAGTCATAGGCATCGGCCCCTGAGCCACTCAAATCGGTTCAGAATTAGGCCATTTTCACTTTTCAAATAACGATTGAATAAGAGCGAAAGTATCACTGTTACAAACAAAACAATTGTACGTATTTATTATTTTTTAACATCAACCTATATTTTGTAAGTTTCTTCTTGTGGATGAAACTGTGTAGTCCAATGCATCAAGTGCTCAATCCTTTTCAATACACTATTCACCTGACAAAAATACATTCTGACCTATTAAATTCATTCCATGTTACTCTCTGAATAATAACATTTGTTTAAGTTCACAATGTTTCTATTTCAGCATTAAAATGGGAATTATCAGAGAGAGGAAATGTTATGTGCAAAATACGAAGACAAATATTTTACATTTCAACAAAGAAAAGTGTTCTTTTGTGTGTTCAATCTCATAGAAGTTTTGAACCAAATAACAGTATAGGAACAGGGGATGTCCACTTCTTCAAAATTATTACATAGTAAATATTTCTAGTTTCAAATTTATAACTGTTCAGAGAAAAATACTGTACCTAGTAAAAGCAAAGAATGAGCGTACTGTGCTATATACAGTTGTAACCCTACCGAGTTAGAAGTAAGAATATGTTCATATGAACATTTCAATAGGTATAACGACTTTCAGATCAACAAGCTATCACTGTCTATAACCAGTTTACAAATAAATGTTTCAGAACATTGTATTTACATTCCCAACAAAACTATGAACATAATAAGAAACTAGCATAAAACATTATGCCATGTTAAAAACATTTCTCTCGAAGTTCACCTCAAAAAATATAATTAAATAATTGTCTTAACATTACAAGAAATATTAAATGGATGATTCACAAAGTCCACACATTTCCTTTAAATTTGTTTTCACCATTCTACCTTAGTATGAAAAGATTAGTTCTCTCTTAGACAATGTCACTGCCTGTACATGTATATTATCCAATTGTGCCCTCCACTCTGAAACAATTACCTACTTGAATCAATTGTGGTTTAAACAAATAAGCAGCTCGCATGGATGGCTTGGAAGAGCTACAGTGGTCTATGTATCCAATGCAACAAGTTACACCTACTCAAGAAGAACAAACATGTTAAATGAAATTTCCTATTACAATATTTCTCACAGATGATTTGAGCTTAAAGAGTACTTATTTACTTTGATTCCCATAAAACATTTTGACTCAAAATAATAAACCACTAATTAAGTAAATAAAATGTAATGAGTAATAACATCTGTAATACTTATACCAACCGTGCAAGTTAGATCTCAAACCCATAATCCATCAAGAGCATATATATTTGATTGTACCTAATTATTACTAAATAATTCCTGTGGCAAATATAAGTGCAAAATTACTGCATACAAATGACATTACCCTGACGAGCTTCACTACATTAGGTAATAATCATATTTTAGAGGCTTATATATTACCATGATAACCTTAAATGAGTTCAACTAAAGCAGGTAGTATCCTTTACATAACATAATGTATACTCCATTATACTCCAGAAACAAATTAACTTCACTAGTAAATTCTAGTTTAACAAATATTATGGATATGCCTGTACTAAGACCCTCACCCCATATATATTATAAACAAATTCTAAGCTTTATCTTAGATATCCATTTGTGATAAGAACTTTTCCATGGTCACATTTCCATCAATAAACACAGCAAACCATAAGAAAATTCACATCAGATTTACAGGACCAATACACAAACTTGGGCATTCACTTCACACATCAATATTTTGAGGATTCATCCTACTGTATTAATTAGAAAACCTAATCCCACTTTACCAAGAAGAAGACACATCATTCAAATTGTAGATAAAACTTATGTATAAAATTACGTAGATACAACTTTCATGCATTGCTTCCAATTTTCATAATAACTGTAACTCAGGTTTTCTTACTTTTGCATGATTTCACATCAATTAACAATTAATTATCTATTATATGAAAAAAGTAATTTGAAAAAGAAACTATCATTTAACTGAGTCAACATTTATTCTACTGAGTATAAAAATTTAAAATAAGCTGATTTAGACTTTACAGTGAAGTTCAATAAAAAACAAAAAATGCATGTGAATAGAAAGGTAAAAAAAGCATCTTGCCACCATCCTTTTTCCTTCATCCGACATTTTTGCTAACAAATTGTGAAGGTAAAAAAACAGATTCTAATCCACATCTGGAGTGTTTTCAAAAAGAAAGCCACATGTCTTCTGTAACATACTTTCAGCCATAAAGTTCTGCCAAACAGGCAGAACTGGCTGAAAATCCTGTTCTGACAGCAATATAAGTAATGTAATAGAAAATTACTTTTCTCTTTTTTTCTTTTCTTTTCTTTCCTTTTTTTTTCCCCTTTTTTTTTCTTTTCTTTCTTTTTTCTTTTTCTTCTTGAGCGACAAAACAGGCAATTTGAATTTAACTCAAACGCTTCATTTAGGCTTGAGGATCTTTTACATGCAGTAAATCTACTAACATGGGACAACTAGTTTTACTTTCCCTCCAAAGGAAGGTATACGAAGGATATGTTCGCCCTAATAATCAACGACTTCGATCGAGTTTGAACCCACAAACTTGATTCTGAAAATGAAAACTAACAATAGACCTAATTAATAACTGATGAATGTGAAGTAGCAATTTTCAAATTTTCAAAAACTCCTAAATAAAAGGAGAATGATGTGAACTTCAAATTAAGGTTGAGATTTGTACAACTATAATGGAATACTTATTACAACTTTAAAAGTGCTACAAAAACATAGGATAAAAATATACCCTTTTCCACTGAAGAAAAACAATTCAAGTAATTATTTTGTTTTAAATTTAATTTTCAGAAGCACTTTATGATGTGCAACTATGAAGACTTTATATTTTCTTCCCTAATAAATCAGTTTTACACAACTGACTGGCTTCTTTCTATTCAAATTTCGTGTGGCTTGCAGTACGCAACAAAAGCCACAACATATTCTGTTGTTTTTTTTCCCAAAACAAAACAGTAATTAATATATTTTCAATAAGTAAAACAGGCTAACTATCCCTATCTTATTTATTGATCAGAAATATCTGAATACAGAATTGTTACACAAATATTTCTTTTACCATTCATTCACCATTTCTTCAATGCAACTGAACTAACCACCCTTCATAAAATCATGAAGAGTCACATTTCTTGAATGAAAAAGGAGGCACTTTATATGAACAATGGAGGAGATCAATTTATGCAAATTAAAATAAATAGACATACCACATCAATGACCCCTGGAATGTACCATATTTGATCATGATTAAAACACTCCACAATACAAGGAAATCAAATTCTTTGGCAATATTAAGTTATATTTAAGAATCTATTCTACACAGACACTCCACCTACCATATCCAGGAACTGTAATGGAAATATGTATGTATCATCAATGTTCACACAGGAGTAATTAGGCCAGGATAAAATAAGTCTCTCTTAATTTTGCTTCTTTCTCTCTTCAGAAAGCATTAATAATTTTTTCTCCACTTCTGAGCATGATATAATACTTTTATATAAAAATTTACATTGTTTAAAAAAATTAGAGTATGTCTCACCTTTTTTATTTCTGGCCTCTAATTATGGACATGTTCGACATACTTCATGACTGTGGTTGTCAATTTTTCTTGAAATTTAAATCTACAATAAAATACTAATTTGCCATGAATGTAGTTCAAGACAAAAACTAATACAGCTCTTATGAGATTCTTAAGGCAGAGAGCTGTATTTTCATTTACAACATAATAGAGGAATAAACAAAATAATTAAAATAGAAAAATCTGTAATACTATAAAATATATTTCTTCTAAGAAACTTTCATTGCAACTCTCATTCATACAATTGCACCATATGATGTACTAACAAATAATTAAAACTATAATATAAATAGAAATGCAGTTATTAAATAAGTACATTTATTCACTTTTAAGTGGCCAGAGCCCTATGGCAGTGTATGACAATATCTTAATACAACATGCATATATTTTTCCTTCGCAAGTCTTGCAATTTTCTGCTGATTTTCCAAAACTGATGGTACATACACAATTTGCATCAATATAGTCAACAGGGCTTTGAGGACCCAAACAGAACATTCACTTGCCTGCAATGTAAAATTGTAATTTTGAAATACAGAACACAAATATAAATAATATAAAAGGCATTTCTGACTTTCACATTAAAAATGAAATATCATATTAAATTTCTTTGTCATGTACTTAATTGCCTCAATAAGATTAAATATCAGTCATACTTGCCTCAACGCTCTCCTTTAAGCCATTTTCTGAGAAGCATAAACACTTCCTTATAGATTCCTAGTACCAACAGTTTATATCATGAGAGATTTTTTACCTGTGCAGTACATTGCACATCGACAATAACAATTATGATGTATCTCCTCTCTTTGAAAGCAATGAATTTTTCAAAGCTCTTTAGCACAATGGATCTACTATGTCATAAAACCCACTGCAACTATGTCACTAATGGGAATCAAATTTTCCAAATTACTCGTCTTTAGCCATCTAGTGTACTATGAGGCTACATTGGAAACCCACATCCTTGCAAGACAAACCTCTCATAATACCTAGAATGCCTTTACATGCTCCTAATTTAGGGCGAGATAGCCATATTCAACAACTGACTGGAAATTCTATTCAATACTTTTAAAGAGAAACTGCCAAACGTCTCAACAGCCACTGAGGGACATAATCACTCCTCCATTACCTAACTTGCACAGAAGCATTGAGAAATAGTTATTCTCAAAAGTCAATCCAAGAGCAATCACACTCACAGATTCAAGAAACTCAATTAGAACAAAATTTCATTAATACGGAACAAAAGGTTTGGGTTTCCCGCCACCAAATTTTTTATCAAAAATGTGAAAAACAATTTTTATTTCCTCACTCACTTCCTCACACACTCACTTCCTTCTGTGATCCTCAGTTAAATTACAAAGCATAATAGATACTGAACACAAATTTAACTGCATATAAATGCAGACATTTATGGCATTACTACCTTAGTTTTCAACATACATCGCAAAATAATATACAATAAAATATACAAAATAATTTAATTTTATTCACGGCTATGGATACAGGTTTTATCATAACTTCAATTTCATTAGCATTGACAGCATTTCCAAGGATTTCCCCTGCCAATACAACATTCTAATTTGCAGCTCATACACATGGGATTAAGCCAAATTAATAATACCAGCTAGAATAGTACAAAGTCAATAAAATAATTATTAATTAATTTCTCCAGCTGAATTTACAAACCAAGACATGTAAATCAAAGAGATTTCTTTATACAATTCAAATTAAAAGGAACAATCAGATTTTAATAGGTCAAAATAATATTTACAATATTTTTTATCATTGCTTGCGTAATTCAAGGGATCACCTCCAAACATAGGTAAACCATATATTCACAATTTTACATTATGACATCTGACAAATCTAAATGATATTCTCTTGGACCAACAGCACCTGGCAAATTTTTATTCTACATGCATACAATCCTCAATACTAAGCATTTCCAACTCATGCTCTCACCTCATTTTCTCTATATTTGCTGATAAAATAACACCCTGTTGACTCTGCATGCCAAATTTACATTAAAAATTATATTACTACATAAAACTGAATGCGAAAGGGATGCTCTTGAGGTCAATAATAACTTAACACCACTGATAAAATTTGAATATGTAAAATAAATCATGCAAACTGACCTAACAAATTTAGATCATACAACAATGGCATGCATATATCAGAGTAAAATTTTTAATTCACAGTATGTTTGAATCTAGCAGCTACTCAATTATACCAAAATTAAAAGTTCTGCACAACGTGCCACAGATTTTTGCTATTTTACAAAATACAATAATACAGGACACATATACACAATTTCCAACAGACGCGATAAATTATTGAATTATGCAAGGTAACTTTGTAGAAAAACTAAGCAATGTACATAATAGGTTTGTTTCAAACAAACAAGGACAGAAACTATCTCTTTCGGGAAAGCAACTGAAACCGCTGAATGTAGAAAACTACAATTCTAAAGAAAACTGGCACAAAGAAGTGCATTCTTTACGTATCTGTTTTTAAATTTAGAGCAATTCATGACCTGTGACAATGACTAACTTGTAAAAAGCTATGCACCATTATTTAATGTAAAGGCTGTGGAACTCAAGTGTTGGGTTCTCATTTTACTTGGGTCATGCTCTGAAATACAAGCATGTATGTACAAAAATAAACTAATCAAAAAACAAATCATATTCAGACCAATCAGATTCGTCAGAGTCTGAAAAGAATGCCACAAAATCTTCCAAGTCATCAATCATCATCAATCTGTTATCACGCTCTTCCAGGTAGTCCCACAATATGATTTGCTGAAAAACAAGAAAAAAGACAATTATTAAAAGATGATAAATTATACTTTTAGCCTACAATTACGCCATTATTTCAAAAAAATACAAGCAGTTTCTGAGACAACAATGATTCATGACATTTGACAGTGTTTCATGACAAATAATATTAATCCAATTCAACACTGAATTTCGAAGTGTATCTTATTGTTACTGAAAACTTTTGTTAATCCTTCCCTGCAAACAGTTGCACTCTTATCAAGTTTTTAAGACAAAATTAATGCAATCATAATTGTAAAATACAGAAAATTTAGAATATCTAATTATTTTCAACAGAAAAACATGACGAGATTAAATTCTGTCTTATCTAATTTTGAACAAGAAATCATCAATGCAACCAAAACTAAACATATTCTTGTAACTCTAGCTTTCTCCACAATTTATTCCACAATAATTCAAATCTCGCAAAAACAATGGAAAAAAAAACTGTTTCCAACTTAAAATATAAAATTCATTTGAATTTTATAATCTTTTACAAAATGCAATTTCCTCACCTGAAGAACTTCTAATTCCCCATCAGCATTCTGCCGTCTTTGTCGTGGCGGTGGCCCTACATCTGCTTTGGTACCATCTGGGTATGCATGAAGGTAGAAGCACTTGTTTCCAAATGGACACTTCCCCCTCCCAGATTTGAAATATTTGCAGTTCTTGACGCTGAAAATCAACAAAACAGACTGATAATTAAACTCCTGAAACAAAAACAACCACACAATGTTCAAAACACAAATTCACACTTATCTTCTTCCCAACTCTCATATACTCCTTTTCATACACTACTCGTGATAAAACTGATTAAGAGCTTCCATAACTTTGTTAGCTTTTTCTTAATACTTTCCACAGGAAATTCAGATAATTTTAAATTTTTTAAGAACAAACCTGCCCAACTACAGGTAAGCAATTTTATTTGGATACTCGCTGTTCTTCCTTTTTCACCTATTTCTTACTTATACAGGTCAGCACACACTTACAAAGAGGCAGTATTGTATTAAGGGGCCCTAATATATCTAAAAAGTCCATAACTCTGAGTCCTAATATGCAGCAAATTAATCCCCTAACATGTGTACTTGGAATCTTTTGCAGGTCTTTGATACCAACAAATTGCTTTACTGCAAAATGCACGCCTGTCTTTCCATTTTCTATACTAGCACCTAAAACGTTCACAAGATTTTCTCCGAAATTGATATTCTCTGATCCCTCTGAGGAACATGAGGCCCTGCACATTTGAAATGGATATTTAGATTTTTGGGGTATTTTACATGAAGCTTTAACATTTTCAACATTTTCCCAAAAATGGCTCCAATTGTTTTCTCTTCCCTTGGAGACAACATAATATTTAAAAACTAGTAGTGCTACAGAATGGCATAGACTTTCCGTATTAGTTTTCTATTTCCTTTGGTCTCGATTAACTATTCGAACTTGCCAAATATTCTTGCCTTCTGCCATCTATCACTGCCCAAAGTACATTCTTTTGACATTTTCTTCATTTTTCAGTTTCCTAATTGTAAAGCGGAAATATTATTTTAAGATTATTAAAGAACAGTAAAATGTCGTCCTAAATGGCAATTTTCTTTGAAATATTTGGACCTGTTTATCAAAAACTGGCATTTAAGCATTATTGCAAATTCGATATTTGAAGCTCTTTCACAGAAAATTTTGGAGTTCTCCAAAAACTTGATTTGAAGTTATTCTAAGTACATTAACCAGCAAATACAATAGTGTTTACAATTTTCTGGAAATGTGCATATGAACGGCGTGACAGATCTTTCAAAAAGTGTACACTTGGGTAAGTTTTGAAAAAACAAAAAATACACCAAAATTAACTTTTTGGCAAATTTCAATTACCACTATCCATTCAAAATGTTTACAGCAAAAATTTGGAGCCTTTTTGAAAAAAATGGCGTTTGAGCGTTTCTGAAAATCCAAAGTTTTGAGCTAGTTCTCACAGAAAACTGTAGTTTTCAAGAAACTTTATACGACATTATAAGCACACATACTCATAAACACAATAATGTGAACAAATTGTTGCTAATATAAATATTAACGTCATGGAAGTCAACAAAATTACATTTTTGTAATTTCTAAAAAAACAAAAGAATAGAGCAATATTGTGTTTGTCATCTCATAGAGTACATTTAGCACTATCCCTACCAAAAGTTTAAAGAAAAAATTTGGGGCCATTTTTGAGAAAATATAGTCTTTGTAATTTTATAAAATTGCACATATTGCACACAATATTGCGCAAAAACTACTAACATTTTCAAAAAAAAAATGTACATGACCTTCATGAAAGAACTCACTATGAGAACAAATTTTATTTGAAGAAAAATACTTTATCTTCAATATTGTAGTTGAAGGAAGACGCCTGAAAAATTTTGAAATATTCGAAAATTTAGTTTCAAACCTGAAAATCAGATCTATGCCATCTTTAAATGTATTTACTATATTCTTGCAAATTTAAAGACAAAATTTGAAACCATTTTTCAGAAAATTTTGAAAATGCCAGTGGGCTAGATGTAGCCTCAAATTTTCAAGTCAATTTTCAAACAATTACAATACTGAAGTTATTTTTTTTTTCCTTAATGAAATAGGTCCTTGAAAAGCAAACCAATAAATAAGATCTTGTTCAACATTTTTTGAAAATATGAGTAATTGCTGCTGACATTAGCATGAAAAATACCTTCACTTTTCAACATCGTATGTTCCCACAAAATTTTTGACACATATTTCTTTATGACACTTGTTCCAGTGACAGTTGGGATAGTCAGTAAACTAAAAAATAATATTCAGCTGGTGTATTGTAAAACAAGATCCAGATTGTTTATTAAAACCAGATATTTTCAAAGCAGTAAAAATTAAGCCACTTTTTAAAGAATGTATCAACAATGAAATTCAAAAAATTAATAACCAATTTCTCTTTTGTCAGTTTTCTTAAAAGGATTAAGAGATTTTTCTATACACTAAAGCAAATTTTCTCAGGACAAACAAAATGTTTTCAGACTCTCAACACGAATTCAGAAAATAAAAACCTATGGAAATGGCAATATCTTTCTTTCCTTAAAGACATTGCTTAATCAATGGAGCAAAATCAACAACACCCATTAGGGTATTTTTAGATCTTTCAAAAGCTTTTGACATAGACAATATCATTTGGTTTCCAAAATTCCCTAAATAAGCAAATACCATTAACATTATTTTTCTGCAAATCTCTCTTCTTTGATCTTGGAATCTTACCATTGCCTTATTGCCCTATTTATTTACCAATCTGTAGCTTTTATCAAGATTGACTTGCTTAACTATGGCAGGAGCATATTTTTATGTAATACATATATTTATAATTACAACACCTGTCATAAGAATCGCATTCATTAAGTGTCAGTATCAGCAGTTTACTACAAGAAATCTACATATAATACATGTATGTTGCATTACAGTGACAGCTCACATTGAACATTTAAACTTGAGACACAAGTTTAAGTGTGAAGTAAAATCTTTTTCTGTAACTTTGAATAGATTTATATTTAAATCTCAATTATTCGTAAGATCCACGTTGGCTTATAATTTCATATCACACTGCAACTTAATTATCGATGTATTCACCGAGTCATTGCTTACACTTATAAAGCATTTTGCCGAGTATATTCGGATCAATTACTTTTTAAGCATCCTAAATGTATGTATTCCGATACTTGGGATAATCTGCTTGACTTATTATTGTGAAAAATAAATAAACAAGTAAATAAATACATAAATAAATGAAGTTTTGAATGTACCATGGGCATTACTTGATACTTTTGCCCCTTGGGAAACTTCCAAGTCCTTAGGCCAGAGGCTCTCAGATTTGGATCACCCTCTAGACACAAGAATGTCTTCATTATGGTCTATGTACTCAAATAAGTATAAAGAAACATACGGTTTTTCAGCATAGTTTCGGCATCTGTAACTTCACTTTGTACAGTCGTGCTCTGGCATCAAATAAGATAAACACAGTTTAGTCGCTTAGGCAAGCAGTGGGCTGGAGAAATCTCAGCAGCTGTCTGATTCTTCACTGTACATGCCATTTCATATAATCCCCATGTGTGTGATTATGTAGAGTAACTTCCAGTGTGTTTTGCAGCTACAATTTTACATATGAACTACATATGGTCTTAACTATTGCTGAAGAAGAAAATAGAAACAGTTTTCCATATCACATTGCCCATTATTCCCTGACAAGAATAAAAATGGAAATAATATTTATTCTATTATTATACAAACACATTACTTAATTTCCATACTGTACATTTCTAAAAGAATTAAAATGCATAACATCTATTGTAAACACGTTCTTGGTCAAGGACTCCTATGTTTATAGAGTTTTTCATTGAGTTTCCCTTGATCCACCGAGAAAAAGCCAAAATGCTTCACTGAGAAATGCTTCATTTCTGAACACCAAACACTTTTTCTTAAACGGGCTTTGCATTTCTGTATAAGATACCTATAGTATTGCGAGATTAAATCAGACAAGAATGATTTTCCTGCTACAGCCTTTCACCACTTTGAAGCTCAAGTGATAATATGAAAATGATTAAAGCTTTCAAAGGAATCAGATACTGTCTATTGTTTCAACCTAATTATCTTACACACAATTATAAATGATTTTTAACTGATGCTAAAAATAATTTAATAGATTTAACACTGAAGCTATTAAATAGAGTGGCAATAAAACCATAATTACCTCATAGCACCCTTGTATTCTTGGATAAGTTTATCTTTATCTTCTTTTGTATCAACCCAGTAGACACTCGGGCAAACAAAGTCAGATGTTACTCTACATTCTGGACAAGCTCTGAAAACGAATGAGCTAATGTATAACCAAATACATCTTTTCATATATGTCATTCCACTGACCCATTCAACATTAAATATAAACCAAAGCTTCCCTTTTGATAGAAAAAGTAGTCAATTTAAATATTGACAATACACATGTATATACCTTTATAATATAATCTGTAATTAGAATACTATAATGTAGAAATATTTTGTAGCCACAAAAGAGCAAAATCTAATGCTGCGAAATAGTGGTCACAAAGTCACATAATTTTAAGAAAAGTACATTTTAACGATGATTACATAGTAACATATTTAGTTATCTTCAAGTCTAAAGTTTTAAGTGATTTTAACTTCCCCATGTTAAATGAAGAATCAAGCATTTGGACATCATCAAAGTACTGTAGAACCCTATTTTAACAGAATCCACTTATAAGAGAATCCCAATTGGCCAATTTGAGACAAAATGCGATGACCTGAGATACATTTTTGCGTATTTTACCCCACATGTAAGAGACATGCTTATTATAGTTCTTCTCTAGATACCCAAATTAAACCAAATTGTTTAATAACTTAACTTTTATTTTAATTTGTTTTGACATCATTTAAACAAACTAAAAAGTTTGTCATTTTAATGTTTCATGAATTATTTAAAATGTGAAAATTTATTTATTTTAGATTAATCCAGAATAATTAATCAATGCATATTAATTGAACAATGAAATTAATCTTATTTTTTAATAACTGCCCATCACTAATGAAAAAATCATGATTTTAATACATTACATAGACATACTTTGTATTGAGTTTTTCACTATTGTGAATGCATTGGCGCTTGCAAGGCAACTTCTGAATTAAGAGATTCCCCTCAACCATCAATTATGATAGCTTTGAAAAATAATTTAATGTCCATAGCAGAAAATCTTGACATCACATTACAAGTTGAGAAAGCTCATAATTTAAAGTAAACATGGGTGGAGATATAAACATATATTAGCTTTCTCAACTTACTAGGATCTAGTCCATGACTAGGATCTGAGAGAAAAATCTATATTCCTAAATATCTTTTATAACAGGGTTCTACTACATTTTGCTTGTTACTTCTGCTCATGTTCCAACACAAATTAATTCCTCCCCTAAACTTAGAAATTGCCTTTTATTAAGCGACATAACTATTTTTGTCAATATCTGAAATTTAAACCAAATTAACATATTTACCATCTTCTCAACACAGTGTAAATATATATTACTTTAAAAAAGATTAACCACCTGTCAATATAAATTCTATATCATCTTAATACTACTGCTGTAAATAACATTAACATTTGATTAACACACTCATGTTAACACCATAAACTTCATAATAACTGTGCATAACTGCTTTACAGCATTCATAATAATGCTTTCTTGGGCAAAAGCAAAAACTAAGCATAAATGTTCATGTTTGATTAGCCTTACCAATATAATTAACAAAAGAACGGGCCTAGGATTACTGTAAATAAAAATTTAATTCACATTTGATATTATTATAATGGAATTTATATCACATTCACACTATTGACTCATTCACATGATATGTTATGATATAAAAGTGATACTCTTAATTATGAAGTTCATGTCAATTTACCTTATTAAATAAATAATATTACAACAATATTAGGTTTTTGTAAACCTTGACACAATTATTCAGTTACAGCAATACAAATACTACTTGTCCTGATATCCCGTAAGTCTTTTTTTACACTGAGAAATTTTATTAAAAGAATGACCATCATCATAATCCATAAGCTAATAAAAAATACTACATCTATAGAAAAATATAATTCAATTTGCAAAACAATAACCAAAATCATATATTAACAGGATACACTACTCTGCTTAATTTTAGGAATGATGAATGAATTTTGAGAACTAATTCACAATTTTCATAATAAAATGGAATGTATGAAAAATATTCATGTGTTTCACGAAAAACTACTTCAAATAAGAAAACTTACCTGATGATTTTATTTTCAAACTGTTTTGCTTGCCGCCACTTCCTGATACAAGTTAAGCAGAAACAGTGATTACAATTTGGAAGGATACCAAATCGTTGCTCACCAGGACTTTTCTCCATAATAACTTCCATACATACTCCACAAACTTTGTCTTTTGATCGAGCAACCGCAAATGACAACTCCATATCCAATTCATGTTGTTTTATACACTCCTGTAAACATTGTTCCCATTCATCTGATTTGGTTTATTTATTTACACACTGTCAGAATAATTCTTTCCCGAAGGATATTATGATGTAGAATTGACCTATTTGCACAGAGGAAAATGAGAGCTGTTTTTACTTCATTCAAAAGCTTCTGTCAATACTATAATTTTAGTGTTTAATTAGAAATTTAATATTTAAAGAGTATTTCCTGAAAGTTAAAAATATTTATAATAGTGATGCCTTTTTCTATTTGTTTACTCCCCTTTATCTTGAAAATTAGACACAACACTGAAGAAATAATTAAAATGAAAAATCTTATACAAGTAAATGAAGTCTTTATGCAGTGCAATCATTGATACATTTATGATTCTCAGAAGTTAATCAACTCACATTATGGTGTTGTTTTCTTTGTTCTTCATCTGTGGGATGTAGGCATGCTTTCCCGCAAAATTCACACACATCACCATGAATGTAGGGGCATTCTGCATCGTATTCACAATGGCCATTGAGTTCCATGTACGGGCAAAACTTTTTGTCATTTCCTTCTCCCTGTAAAGTGCTGGTATAATTTCCTCCTGGATTGACTGCCTCAGCATATGACTTATGAGCTGCAAAGAGACAAAGAAAAGAAATCAAAACATCAAATAGTCAGAAAACGATTCCTGAACTACTCCAGAAAAAACAACACAAAAGAAAACTAACATTTTGAAGATGAATTCACATTTGCATTTGTGTTTGTGTTTGCAGATGCGTTTCCATTTCCATTTGTGTTTGCATTTCCATTTGTATTTGTACAGGCAGAAGCCGGAACCGTTCCGCATGCAGACGGGATAAATTCAGGAGCATTGACCCAACTTTCAGTAGCTTCATCACCAATTCCACTGTCTGCACTTGTTTCTTGTTTCTTCAGTGATGAAATTTTCCTGTTTCCAAAAAAAAAAAATTAAAACATTGCAATTGCCTTACAAAGCAAAACTACTCAAGTGTGTAAGATCCACAAATGATGTCCTTGTCAAAGAGTGTGAATGCACACATTGATGGTGGATATTTTTGTCATTTCGTCATTGTGTAATAAAAGCACAAAAGGATATTTATTCATTCATTCATTTAATTAATTTACTTATTTTATGGACATTAGTTGCCTAAGTACAAATAAAATGTACATAATACATGTTCAATGATGAACGACATGATTTAGGAGCATGTGTAACTATGATCATCATTTCAATAAGACCACTGCAATGAAACATTTACAAATCCATCCCACCACACATTCTTATTCTATTCATATTTAAAAAATTTTAATGTTAACAACTTGATGAAGGATATTTAATTTATTCCAAATAATTCTAAATTATATATCATAGAAAAATTGAAAATTAATTGTGAGAAATTTTTATCAGAAGATAGTTTGTCCAGAGAGTTTTTGTGACAATCTTAAGTCAGAAACAAACAAACAAATGAACAACAAAACTTTCAAAACATACAAATTAAAGTTATTATTCTTTAACATTGTTCTGGAAATATCAAAGCCACTATTGTAGGCGAGATAATCCAAATAAAGTGTACATCACTACATCACTGCGCTTCTGTAGCAGAAATGTACACATAGCTAAGGAAAATAAAACAAAGTAAAATTATACGAGCTACAAAAAATATAGAAAAAAATATTCAATTTAGACTACAATATTGGCTTCAAACCACCAGAACTTCAAAGACATGTATTGACAATTGGCTTGTCATGGGAATTGCACAAAAAAAAATCCTAATAATATTTACCTTCATTGAGTAAAATCTCAACGTGCATATTACCTTCTGAAATAATACACTCAAAAGATGTGTTACAGAAACATTGTGTTTGATCAATGCGTTATATCCTATGATTTACAGCAAGCATTACCATTAACACCTACCTACGGAAGAGGTTTTCTACGTCAACCAAGAGTCTTATCTCAGTGAGCATATGGGGAGGGGGGAATTTTATAATAT